CACAGACAACCTCTCGTCAATATGCGTTTTTTGCATTGCATAGCTGCAAAAAACGCATAAAAACAACTTAGGTGAGCACTTCAAAATAGCGTATGTTCTCTTTTTTCCTTGTCGGACTCGATTGGTTGAGTTGTGTTGAGGGCTTACATTTTCTTTAGGACGTTATCCTTGCACTTCATTTCTCTGAATTATTTTATCGTTAGCAAGAATTTAGGGTGAAAGCTGTATTCGTAACGATGATATCATTTCGACAATCGAAGAACAAGGCGATTCAATAGCAGTTATTTGGTTCAGTGGTGTCCATTATTATAATGGTCAGCTGTTTGATATTAAGAGAATCACCAAAGCAGGGCATGACAAGGTTTTTTTTTTTATTTCGATTTTCATTGAAAAATAAGAGAAAACAACGTCGAAAAATAAAAGAAAACAGTCTCTTGCTTTTGTGCGACAAATGAATTTTATCAGCTGCTTCAGTTCGTGCGAGAAGTAGTTGAGCCGTACAACAGTGATGAACTGATTTTGTTCTGGAACAGTAACATAAATTTGTCTCTGATTCAAGGACTGAAATGCAATAACGTCGAAAATTGGCTTGTTTTCTGGCTTAGAAGAGTTGACAGCCATTGATGGCCCGGATTTTTCTGACATTTGCGATTTGGCATCGGTAAATAAAATTCCGAACTCTTCCTCGTTGTTTCTTGTAAAACCACAGTAGCATTGACCGTATGTAAAAAATGCACAGGCTGAGACTTATCGGAATGCATTTTTGTACATATTCTCACACCTCTTCAGGAGAAAAATAAAAATCTTGACTAGCCGAAAAGTAGTCTTTACAATGATCACGAGTTTGCTAGAAAAAGATGAGCAGTGCGAACTTAGTTGTATTCTTCGAAAAATAATGGATTAGGAAGAATTGAGCTGGTGGTTTTTCAGGGTTGTCTGGTTGGCTGGGAATTGGCACATGGCTTCGCAAATGTCCCGTTGTCGTTACACGCATGGGATGTTGATTTTGCTTGTTGGTGTACCTACAAATATGGCTGCTCGGGTGCTGGTGGTATTGGTGGTTTCTTTGTGCATAAACGTTTTGAAAATGACAAGCGTGAACGAATGCTTGGCTGGTGGGCACACAAAATGGATACACGATTCGACATGGATAATAGTTCGTTTTAAATCTTCTTTAAGTTTTAAATTTTTTAAATCTTCAGAACCTCGTTATTTCATATAAGAGCGTGCGTAAAATTGACCTTCTGAGTTTCGTTTTAAAAAATACTCTGCCTTGACATTTTTGTGAATGAGTTGAGATTTTTTATACAAAATCTCTACTGGGAAATAGATTGCGGTGCTAAATAGGAAATATGCAAGGTTCAGTTGTGGTGCTAAATATTAATACATACAACTTACTGGACTGAATCATTCCTGTTTTTTTTAAATATAATTTCGCATTATATTTATATCATTATTAATGTCTTAATTTATCCCACAGCCCATGCATAGCAAGCCAGTATTTCAGTTGTTATTTTGTTCCTTTTGATCGAAATTCCTCAGTGTCCTTAAGGTGCAAATTGTTTTCTCCTGGCTCCATAGACACTTTTGGGAAAAAAAACAAACGACCGCGCTTGCCGGGGTGTTTGCTCCAACCGTAACTGAGCGTCTTCACTGTTCATAGGGGCAAGTTGAACTGGGAGTTTTTACGTATAAAAATCTAAATTTCCTTTTTTTCCAGAAATGGATCTTGATTGTGGAGCAGCTGGATTTCGCATCAGCAACCCGCCGATGATGCTTGTGGTACCAATTGTCGGTTTTTTGCAGGTAATATTTACCTTTGAAAATTGTAATAGCTTTAAACGGCCCTACGGAAAAATCGAGAGATTTTATAAAATGCTTTCGTTGGTCAAGTTCTAATGGTTTTTCTGAGGCATTTGGCAACTTACATGATTACTGCAACCTGTGAACACAGCTGGGGTTATTTCGGTATTGTTGGATATCCCGAAAAAGCGTTTATTACTGCTTCCTTGGGCTTATCCTTTGAAGTTGTTTTCAGGTGTTTTCCAAGACAACAATTCAGGATTTGCGGTCTAAATCAGTGTTACTAACTGGTTATTTGGAATATCTAATCAATCATTTTCTTAGTCCATCCTCGCTGAATCGAAGGACTAAAAGGGTAATCCAGTAATCAATCTTTGAAGTAAATAGCGATGTACTCTAAAATGCTGAAAAGGAGAGGATTGTAGTGGCAGTGTGCGGTACTATAAGTAGCAACGTACGAAATCTAGGACCTTGCCCATGTGTGACCCAAAGTTCTCCTCACGTACGAACGCGTGGAATTTGGCGTGACTCCGCAATCAGGGCATCCAGACTGCCGAAAATCTTCGCGATAATTTGTGACAACGTGGTGGCAGTCTCAGTTTGTTTAGCTAGAGCCTCTAGCTAAGCTAACCTCTTGCCTCTTTCAACCCTAACCTCTTACAACCCCCCCTCCCCCCCCCCCCCTTCCCTAAACTCCCTGCAACCGTCCCCCTTTCTATGTTCTTTCAATCACCAACTCCTTCCGAACCCCCAAACCTTTCCCCGTCTTCAACCGTTTCTCACCCCCCTCCCCCCATCCCCAACCAACCCTTTCCTTCCAACCCCCAACCATCTCCTCCCTCCCACCAAATAACCCGTTCCTCCAATCCCCTACCAACCCCCTCCTTCCCTTTCACCAATCAACTTCCCTCTATCCCAACCCTACCACCAGCCTCCCATCTCCAACCCCCTATCTCCAACTCTCCCACTCTCAACATTCCAACCCCCCACTCCCCAACCCTTTCCAACTCCCCCTCCCCCCACTCCCCAACCCTTTCCAGCCGACCCCCTCTCCCCCACTCCCCAACCCTTTCCACCCGTCAATCCCGCATTCCCCAATCCTTCCCACCCGCCAACCCCCCACCCCGCCAACCCATCTCACCTGCCATTCTGCATTCATCCCTACCGCACACATAAAGGTTGGCGGGTTGGTTGGTGGGGAATGGCGAGTTAGTTGGTGGGGAGAGGTGACTTTTTTAAATTATACGCAAAACGTTTTCTGGGCGGGGTTACACAAAACGCATGGTCGCACCAGCAAACGCTACTTATTTTTTATGTTCCAGGTGATGTGTACTATTTTAACGCCTTCTGATCCGGAGCAGCGTGGATGTCAGTTGTCGCTAAAATTTAATGTTCATATTGAGAATGTCTACGATGGGCTTGTAAAAAGAGGGGTTGCGGTACGTTTGCACTAGTTTTGTTTAAGTATCATCGGATTCTGGACCGGTTTTTTCTCTACTCATTTACTTTGAGCAGTTACAGTTATTCGCAGTCTGATTTTCCAGCTATGCAGCTTGCATCTTTTGCTGCTTTGATTGACTCTGCGTCGTCTGGTGGTGTTCTTGATGCTGGTTTTGTCTTTTGGGGGGCTGCCGTTGATATTATTTTCTGCATTGTTTTTATTGAGCGTTTTGAAAGCGTCTGCTTCGGGTTGTGCATTTTTGTCGCAGTTTTTTTTTTAAGTATCAAGTAGAGATTTTGATGAATTTAACGACGAAAACTAGGAAATGAGTATTCCACCTGCCTTTAGGCTATCAATGAAGGTGTTCATAAGTTCGGCGCTTCGTTATGTTAGAGGAGCTATTTTATTTGTTATCACTATGAAAACTAAAAACAATACTTCGTATGAGCTAAGGTAAAACAAGACCCAAAAAATATCTGCTTTTAATATTATCACCCTGAGCACAAGTAATTTTGGCCAATTTTTTTACTGTTTCATTTTCTTGAACCCTTTCTAACAGGACCGCTGGTTATTTTTGTCAGTGTTGAGTGATAAAAATATTAATAACGATATCTATAAAATATAAAAATGTATTTGAAAATAATCAAGCGAACAGGAATATTTCGGTTTATAAATTGAGTTCAGCGAAATAAAAATCTGTATTTTCTGTGACGTATATGATAATTGCTTGAGAAGCTGCATTTTCCAGGTTGATAAGCGCTATCCAGATGTGATACGTGTCACACCGGTGCATTTGTACAACAGCTTCACTGATGTTCATCGGTTTATGAGGGCACTTCTGGATTCGCTGAATATTGTCGAAATTGATTTGGAAAAGCATTAACTCAATGTGCTTTCTTTTTGAAAAATTAGGTCATTCGTTTCTAAATTTGTTTTTGACTTGTTTTGGCGATAAAATGATACTGTTGTTTGGCATTATTTTTACCAGTCGGCGTTTTAAAAGAAAAAAACCCCTTCCTTCCCCTTCCGGGCCCTCAAAAAATTATTATGGTGGTTGACAGCACGGGATTGATTAGGAAAATGACTCCGGTTTGGATTTAACTTCCTGATTCCTGACGGTTCGTGCAGTTATGATGCGTATTTTTGAACCCAGGAAACAGAAAAAATTTTTTTTACATAGTGATTAGCATAAAAAATTGGCATGATTAGATTAGCATGATTAGTATTAAATGCATAGACCAAAAAAATATTAGCTTAGATCTCTGGGATAAACAATTATGTAAATTATTTTGCAATGTAATTGCTTCAGACAATGACGCGCTTCAGTTCTGTTATTCCTGGATTGAAATTATTTTTCTTTTGGCTTCTTTACTAGTTTATGCACAAATGCAACGCTTGTTTAACGAAAAAGATCGCTTTTATGGATTGATTTTGCACCTTCTCGTGTAATTCTTACTTTTATTTATTTATATCTACCGGCAGTTTTATAGCGGATTTTGCGCCTTTTTCCAGTTTCTCCTACTTTTTGCTCCCACAACAGACAGTTTTGGCTCTCAGTTTGAGAAGCTAAGTACCGATCTCAAGCGTCAGCTACTAGCACAGTCCTCTTAACAGCAATCCTTAACATGTTACTCAGGCGCCGTGTAAAATCACAGAATTGATAACAGCAGTAAATCAATCCTGAAATTGGCGTAAAAACGAATTCCAAGTCTTCCAGCTTGACCTTCCTTTTATTATTGCAGCTTTTTGGGTCACTATAAGCATTTGCGCTTTCCTATGCATTTTTTTCACACCTTAACTCATCAACTAATGGTCATCCAGTATTCCTCGAAAACAGCCATTACTGGAAGCAGTGAGAGTTTTTCGCGACCACCGAACTGTGAGAACTGAGGTGCCGAAGCCACTGCGGGAGGCGGTGGAGCTGTTTGGCATTCAAAAGCTTCATTGGCAAGCACTGACTTCTACTAAAAGTAGAAATATTTGCTAATGCGGTGTTTTTCTCCGTTCCGCTTAATGAAATTTACATAAATTTTTTTCCTGTTTGCTTCCCTCTTTTCAAATATTTCACTTCCACAATTGAGTTTTATTTTCCTCTCCGTTCGTTGGTGAGGATCAGTCTGGATCGTTTCAGGCAATTCATTTCTTTCTGTTTCCTCAGCATCGCTGCTTTATGCAATGAATCTTTCATGAGTCGGTGCAGCCTTTTGTTAAAAATGAATAAAACGAATTTTTTAACAGTTTCTGCACATTATGCGCTTGCATCCCACTTCTTTATCCTAACTCTACGTCTTACACATTTCAGAGCTGCTTTTATTAGCAGCGGGATTTTCAATGTCAGATGCTTGAACTTCACAAAATCAGCGGAATCGCTCGGATAATCGATGTGAGAATTCAACGTCGGTAACGATACCGAAGTGCTGTCACGCGATGGATGGATGGATGGCAGAAATTAGAAGGCTTAAAAAAGGAGCTAATTTTTCGATTTTAACTTCATACTTCTCCATATTGTCCCCTTTACAAGCAGCACTGTGCAAGCTGGTGCTCTAACAGAAAAGGCAAAAGCATAAGGGAGAAGGGGATAAGATGAGGCGGAGATTGCATGGTGAGGGTACCTTTCAAAATCCCAGGAAATTTTCATTTGCTAGCCTGAAATTACGAAATGTTCGATTTTGACTATACATAATGCTAGCCTTTCTTCCATAGAAAAGGATCAAATTACGTATGTCATTAGAGCCCACATCAAAATGGATCATTGACCGGGCGATGAAAAAGAGGAAGCTTGTTTTACATCTTTGCCTTGTCATATCCAATGGGGTTTCAAATTATTCTGAAAGCTTTTATGCCTCAAAATTATACTCGTTTGCGAGGTAAAAAAAAGCTCATCAAGTTGGATGTCTTTTATGCAATGGATCGAATTTCAAATGCATATAAAATTTCAGCCCTTAACATGGTAATTATGAAGGCTCAGTGCTGCTGCTGTAATACCAACGGGTGCTTAGTATTTTATTCCATTTTCTGAATTTCTACGCGTTTTATTGGAATAAAATATTACATGCGTCGTGAGCTGATTGCATTCTTATGACAGAGTATTCAATTTTTTTTAATTTCTGGGATAAAGTTACAGGGGATGTGTCCGATGAATCCACCCTTAATTCCGCTTGCAAAAGAGGCTTCGTTCACAACCCACCGTCCGAGCACTACCGTTTTCTATATTTTCCTGACTCTGTTCACTAAGTAATGCATTTATGTCATTAAAATTAACTAGGTGCATTTAAAACTCATTATAGTGATGAATTCTGTATTTACACTTGCAGTTGTAAATGTCTGAAAAAA